CCTTCCAGGGGGGCCTTGCCTTCCGTGTTGATGCTATCCCACAGCGCTCTGAAGCCGAGAAGGGCTTAGGAGACTACTCCTGAGCATCCTCAGGCTGGCGGTACCTCCCTGCATCCTCCAGCCCCCGCTTTGTAGGCATTCCTTGGACAGAAGTGCCCCTAGCAGGAGGCCCAGAGAGAGAAGAATCTCTGCAGAGCAGCAGACAGTGTTTCTGAGATGGGACCGAGGCAGGGGAGACCTGGGCTAGGTTTTCTCCCATCGCAGACTCGCTGTGTGACCTTAGTTTTGGCTTTAGGACTCCTCATCTAGTCCCATCTCTTTGCTCGTCCTCTCCAGAGGACACGCTTCGCTTGTGTTCTTCAGAGAAGGGGCTGCAGCAAGGACTGACACTTCACACCGCTGTACTGCGCTGGGTGTCCCAACACCCTGCACCACCTCTCCTTCCTCCCCGCGGGGGTTCCCTGTGCGTGTCCTGCAGCACTTACTTTATCCTGAAGATAGCTGTCAGCCAGGAGCAGAAACCCTGTACAGAAAGAAGACAGGAGGGTCTCACGTCACGCTGTGTTCCCTTATCCCTGCTCCCTCCTTCAAAGGCTCAGGACACCAGGCTGCTGTCCTTGCACCTTCACACTTGGCTCAAGGCGAGGGGACAGACCACAAGCCCCCAGACATGCAGAGCCACAGACAGGTCAAGGTGAAGGAGATGACAGGGCTACTCCACGGGGCACAACACAGGCTGGACTCTGCTGTGCTACTGTCCCCTACCAACCGGCAACTCAACCTCCCAGGCAACCCACGGGCTCACAGCTGCCATGGAAGCTCTCCACAGCCTAGGGACACCCAGAAAATTCACCGTACTGGTACTTTAGCCATCATCCTGGACAAGAGGGGCTCTGCAGGGGCTGGGATTGCAGGCTGGGCAGAGCCAGTGCTCCTGAAAGGACACCTAGGGGAGAAATGTCTCCTGGGAGCTTCGATACCCCCCAACCAACACACCCTGTTGTCCAACCGAACTGTGCTTCCCCTTTAGAGAGGAAGACAGCAGTGTGAGGAAGAGCTGGCAGGTATTGCTTGTGATGCTGAGATGACAGGTTGGACAGATGCCTGCTAAGCCACAGGGATGTACAGGCTACTTATTTAAGCACATGTCTAGAAGCCATGTAGTTGTGTCTCCTTGAGCTCTCTCTCACACACACACACACTACAAAGTGTGGGACCTAAGGCCTAGGGAATGGCAAGCAGTGTTTCTTCTGAAGAGCTCCTGGCTCAGACAAGCTGTGGGCCACCAAGGTGTTGGGGACTCTTGCTGCTACTCACGTTGTCCCTCTGGTCGAAGTCCACAGAGCTGGAGACGGAGGTGAGGCGCTCGTAGCGGTCGTGGCTGTCGGAGTGCAGGGCGGAGGCTACGCTACAATGACAAGCGGGAGGGCGAGGGAGAAAGTTAGAAGACGCAAGGGGGCAGCCTGGCCAGGAACCAAGAGCACCCAGAAGATCAGAGGTTAATTCGGGTCAGTTTGCCCCAGGTGAGGTGGAGAGAGAGGCGAAATCAGAGAGTAGAGGCAGCAGTAAGCAGAGACCCCCTCCTCAGGCAGTGCCCTGAGCCTGGCAGCCCCCCACGGGCTTGGCCATGGATGCTACTCGCTCAGCACCTTCCGAGAGGCAACCCCCGTTCTGCAGCAGCCTCTGTGAGGAGGGGCTGG